AAGATACCGCTAAGATACCTGAGATTAACATGTGTAAATGAAATTGTCATCAGTTCAGCATCTAGCTAAGCAATAATAGATAAGGTAACACCTTAGAGACTATATTTGCCCTGGAAAAATATCACCACTTCGTTGTCTCACATGTTTCAATGTTGTTCGAGATTTTTTTCAACCAGCTTGGCCATCTGTTTGATTTTGGGACATGTCCAGTGAAGAAGCGTGCTGTGCAAAGATGTTGGCAGGGGGGACAAAGTGGCTGTCATCCCATAAAGTTGCCATGCAACTGAAGTGTATTGTAGAGGAAGGAACAGGCTGGCTAGATGCAGGTCTACCTCCCCAGCGTGGTCTAGCCTTGAGCCAATCCTGAGAGAGCTGTTTATAGAGCAAATCCTCTTTCACATGTTCACTTGCTATTTAAAGGAATGCAAAGGTGAATGCCTTATAATACGAAGAATAATGATCCCTTCCCCATATAGATATTTGTGCAAATACAGGTTTTTTTCCTATATCATGTTTAAGTGAGGTACACTTACAAGTGAAGTAACTTGGTATGGATCAGTGGCTAAGATCTGGCCCAGTTTGGGAGTGGCTAGTGTCAAGTAAGCAAGCATTTATTAAGCCCTTACTATGTGCTAAGCACTGGAAATGCAAATACAAGAAGAAAGACAGTCTGGGGGGGAAGACAATAAGTGAAAAGGAAGCTGAAAATGGGGAGGGGGATTATTTTATCCTAAACAATATTATTAACCTTTCACTGAGAGCTTTTTCTTGTGGCAAATGGATCACCCATTCATGTCTCGTAGCATCTCTCTCTTTTTTTGGCTAGGCAATGGGGTTAAGTGATGTGCCCAGGGTCACACAGCTAGTAAGTGTCAAGTGTCTGAGTTCACATTTGAACTCCTGACTCCAAAGCCGGAGTTCTACCCATTGTGCCACCTAGCTGCCCCTCATAGCATCTCTCTTATCCATCCACTTCTACTCATTCACACAGCCATCACCCTAGTTCAGACCATAATCACCTCTCGGCCAGATTACTACAGCAGCTTCCTAATTTGGACTTCTGTCTTTTAATCTCTACCCTCTCCAACCCATCCTCTAAATAGCCTGAAATTTCCCCCTCTCCATTTCCTAGCATCCATAGCTTACCTAATACAACAAGCATTGTGGGGGGGGGGGGGAAGAACCTACTGTGCTAGGCCTTGATGATGCAAGGAAAAAAACAAAACAGTCCCAGTCATCAAGATGCATACATGCAATTGAGGGATGGAGGGGAACAATATATAAGTATATAGAAAATGTATACACAGAGTGAATACAAAGCAATTTGGGGGAAGACACCAACAACTCAGGGCATCAGAAAAGGCCTCCTGCAATCCTGAGTTGTTCCTTGAGGAAAGGTAGGACTTCTAGAGGCACATAGGTGACATAGTAGATAGAGTTTTGGACATGAAGTCAGGAAGATCTGCCTCATTTACTAACTGTGTAAACCCAGCCAAATCATTTCACCTCTCTCAACTTCAGTGTCTTCATCTATAAAATGGGAATAATAATAGCACCTACCTCTCAAGGTTATTGTAAGGATTGCATCTGATAATGCTTTGCAAATCTTAAAGCACTATATAAAAGTTAGGTATTGTTATTTAAGGAGAGGGGAGCATTGTAGGAGTGAGAAGCAGCCTATAAAAAGGCACAAAAGTGGGAGATAGAATCTCATCTATGAGGATCAACAAGTAGGCCTGTTTGGCTGATACATAGAATATATGTTGGGGAATAATTTGCAATAAGCCTGGAAAAATAAGCTGAAGCCAAATTGTGAAAGGCCTTAAATGCCAAGTGGAAGATGTTGTATTTTATCCTAGAAGCAATGAGGAGTCACTGACTCTTCTTGAGCATGGGAGTGACGTAATGCTAACCTGGCAGCTCTGTGAAGGATGGATTGGAGAAAGGAGAGGATATCAGCAGAGAGATCAGTTTGTGGCTCTACATACAAACTACCAGCATAAACTTTCATTTATAGATAAGGAAAATAAAACTCCTCAGAGAAATTAAGTAATTTGCCCCTGGTTACTCAGCTAATATTTGTCAGAGGTGGCCTTTGATTCCAGGCCTTCCTGGCTCCAGGGATGCAGCACACTATTCACTGGGGTACGCTGCCTTTCGAAGACCATAGTTGACATTTTTTCATAATCTTATTTGAGCCTTATGATAACACTGCTTTTACTATCCTGTCTGCCACATTAGCCAACTTAAAAATTAAAAAATATATATTATAAAGCCGTCGAGCTGTTAAAAAAAAAAAGTCTGGCTATGATGCCCCTTCTGAAACAATAACAGTAATGCATCACAAATGTATAACAGTTTATAGTAATAACTAGCCTTTATATAATGCTTTAAGTTTTGTAAAGCACTTTACATAGTATCTCATTTGAGCCCCACAATAACCCTGTGAAGCTGGTGTTGTTATTATTCCCATTTTACAGATGAGGAAACTGAGGCTGAGAGAGGTTAAGTGACTTGCCAAGGGTCACACAGTTAAGTATCTGAGGCTTGAATTCAGGTCTTCCCAACTCCAAGACCAGAACTCTATCTACTAGATAGATTACCAAGTTTATGTCATTAAAAATGCTTTATATATACTATTTTATAAAATCATTTAACAGTGATTTGGAGGCAAAAATGTTGCTTCAAATAATTTCTATTCATTTTATTCCTACTAAATTTCATCTTATTAGATTCAGCCCAATGTTCTCATATGTTCTAGTCTAGATCATTTTAAAATTCCTGACTCTGACATCCAAAGTTTGTGTCATCCATAAATTTAATAAACATGACATAAAAATGCTTTATCCAAAGCAATGATAGGATAGGGAATAGATCTGTGATTTCACTGAAATAGGGAATTTCTGGATGAAGACACTCTACCAATGCAGATTAGCCCTTTTTATTAGAGAATTTCCTACAAAAATGTGAGATCAAGTGACTGTCCAGGCTCACACCATGATTTGTCAGAGGCAAGACCCAGCTCTTCCCCTCTAAGGGACCAGTTGTCTATCTACTACAGCACACTTCCTCCACAAAGCACTGATAAGAACATTAAATACCACAGGGCCAAAAACAGACTGTCTGAGGCACTTCGACGGAGACCACCTTCCAATTTGACAATGAACCATTTTGATTACTCTCCGGGTCTAACCAATCAACTAACTCTCTAATCTACCTAAATGTATTATTGTTTAGGTCATATCTTTGTTTCTTGTTCATAGAAATATCATCACTTTGTCAAATACTTTGCTAAAAGCTAGGTAAACTTTACCTACAACATTCTTAGAACTTACCAGTCTAGGGAGAAAAGAAGGAAGGAAAGAAGGAAGGAAGGAAGGAAGGAAGGAAGGAAGGAAGGAAGGAAGGAAGGAAGGAAGGAAGGAAGGAAGGAGGGAAGGAGGGAAGGAGGGAAGGAGGGAAGGAGGGAAGGAGGGAAGGAGGGAAGGAGGGAAGGAGGGAGGGAAGGAAGGAAGGAAGGAAGGAAGGAAGGAAGGAAGGAAGGAAGGAAGGAAGGAAGGAAGGAGGAAGGAGGAAGGAGGGAAGGAGGGAAGGAGGGAGGGAAGGAGGGAAGGAAGGAAGGAAGGGAAGGAGAGGAAGGAAGGAAGGAAGGAGGGAAGGAGGGAAGGAGGGAAGGAGGGAAGGAAGGAGGGAAGGAAGGAAGGAAGGAAGGAAGGAAGGAAGGAAGGAAGGAAGGAAGGAAGGAACAAGGAAAGAAGAGAGCAGGGGAGAAAGAGAGGGAAGGAAGGAATAATGGAAGGGAGAAAGAGAGAAAGATGAAATAAAGAGCTTATGCCTACATAGCCTGTGCTTGATATCATACTTGCTCTTTAAAATAATTTCTTCCTTTTCTAAACATTTCTGGTGCCTGTCATGGGGACAATGGTGAAGTACTTGGCTACTTATCTGACTAGGGAGGAGAGGCAAGTTTAATTTTTAACCATTTCTCCTTACATTTCTGCTGTATGATATCGGGCAAATTATTTCCCCTCTCTGGCACTCAATTTCGCCATATATAGAATGGGAGGATTGATTATACCGGCCCTGGTTTCCACGATACAGTGATCTGGCATCGCAGAATTGGAAGGGACTTTAGAAGACATATGGTCTAGCTCCTATTTGAAGCAGAAATATCCCTCTACAGAATCATTAACATTTGCTTGAACAAGTCCAGCGATAGCATAGGCCCTCCTCTATCCAGGCAACAGGATCCTATTGTTGCATGTCTTATTGCTAAGAAGTTTTTCGCTATAAGGAGCCAAAATCTGCTTCCCTGAAACTTCAAACCAATGTTCTTGTTTATGTCCTCTGGACTCTGACAGAAAAAGCTTAATTCTTCTTCCACATGACAACACCGATTCTTCTCTGGGCTGGTAATCTCCAGTGCTACGGTTCCTCGGTTGCAAAGCAAAATGAGGGGCCAGTACTCTGGAACAGTGAGCGCTTAGAGAGTTAGCACTTGGAGAAAAGAGACCAAAACTCTAAGCAGCCGCCACCACCCCCTCGTCTTCAGAGCTGACGCAGGGTTAGTCGCAGGGCTGCAATGGGTTATGTGGTCTTCAGGGAGGAAGCCCTTCAGAGCAGATGGCAGCCTGGGCCTGGGGAACACAGCAATGTAGCTAGAAGCTTCATGGACAGTCTGGAGCCCCTATAAAGTGTCCACACACACACACACACACACACAGAGGAAGATCTGTACATGCAGAGGCAGCAGAGGGACCTTCTGGGCTCATCTGCCGGGCAGGTGTATTAAACTGAGGTGGCCTCCAGCCCAGCCCCTTTCCCACATCCTTCAGTCCAGGCAAGCCAACAACACCTGCGGCGCAAAAGGCCCCTGCGCACGGAGTAACTTCCCTAGGCGGCGGATTGTTCCCTAGGGAGCGCGCCCAGGTCCCGAGCACACGCGCGCGCCTCTCTTCCCCCCTCTGCCCCCCTTCTCCTAACACTGGGCACGCGCCCCTCCTCACAAACTCTCAGGCTGGAGGAGACGGCAGCGGCTGCTGCGCGCGCTCCTCGCCCGGGACTGGGACTGGGCTCGAGCTGTGCGCGTGCCGCTCGCTCGCTCTCCCGGAGCCCGGGCTAGCCTCGGAAAGAGCAGAAGCAGCGGCCGCTGCAGGGAGCTGCAAAGGGGGGGGCAGGAGGCGGGAGAGAATCCGAGAAGCCGCGCGGGTAGCGGCTTGTGGGTCCCTGGGGCGGCGGGGCGTGGGACGCGGGAGTAGGGGTTAACTGTCTTTGTATGCAGCCCGCTTTCTTGGAGTGGGCGACCCAACTAACGCTGCCTGTCCCCGCAATGCCCCTTAGCTGCAACCAGACTGGTCTTGGCGGGAGCGGCTGCTCCTAGCGACCGGCGGGACGGCGCGAAGCGGCCCCAGGCCAGCCGGGCCCATCACGTGCAGCCGCTTCGGACGCGCCGAGGCGCTGCTCACAGGGGACGTGGAGAGCCCGGGTCCTCCCCTGAGGGCAGCGGCCGTTCCCATGGTGAAAGGTAGGCGCTTCGGGCGCATGGGCTGGGGATGTGAGGGGCCTGTGCACCCGAGCCAGCGGACTTGGAGCTGGGAAGAGTGCATGCACTGGGGCCGGAGGCGATGGGGCTGGCGAACTGGGAGGTCAGAACGCCTGAGGAGCTCCTTTGGGCTTGGGCCCCCCTCCTCGCTCGGCGTGTCCCGCACTCCCCCTTTGCGGGCTACTCTGCAGCAGAGTCCGGCCCGGCTGCTCCCGCTTCCCGGCCCACCTGGGCCTGAGGCCGAGGTGGCTGCCAGTCCGGGGTGACCTCGGGGCCCCGGCTGGCGCGCGCTCGGGGATCTAGAGCAGACGTTGCAGAGGCAGGAAGCCCCGGGGAGGAGATGGGAGGGGAGGAGGTACAGGAGGGTGAAAGGTCTGCATTCGGGCCACGTCGCCTCCTACGCCACATTCCCCCAAAACAGCAGACTGGGAGGCAGGAAAAGTTTCCCAAGGTGGTGACCGTGGAAGACTGCTCCTTGTCTAGAGCCGAGAGCTTTTCCTGATGCCTCCGTTTTGTGGTGCCCCCAGCCCAACCACCCTGAGAAGCATCAAGGCCATGAAAAAGCATTTCGCTTTTTTCCCACCTGGGAAGAACAAACCTCAAACTGCCAGAAGAGAGTTTGATTATCCCCTACCATCCCCAAGAGCCTCCTCTTTTCCCTTACAGAGAAAAACCGTTTCTTAAAGGTGATCTTTGTATACTTCCACAAACGGGATCAGATCTCTATATGCTGCTGACATAGGATAAAATATTTGAGTATGCAAGGTCAGATCCAATTTCAAGGAGAGATAGAGGCATTTCCAAAGGTCATGTCACTGTTTTACCTGCAACCTCGCTGGAAATGGCTTCCTCCTCCTTCTCCCTTCCCAAAGGAAAGTGACACCAATAAAATCAGATCCCTATTGGACCTATTGGGCGTCTCCCTCTACGGGAGAACCGTCCCAGTCACACTGCCCCAATCTCCAGCACCCTTTGGGCTAGCATTGCCAGACCAAGAAGCTCCTAGGCAGTGGGAGGGATTCAAGCTGGAGAAAAGTTTTGGCTGCATGAAAAGGAGTTGATTTTGAGTCTTTTCCACCTTCTTGCTTTTTATAATTAAAGATAAGCTCCTTAAAGCATTTGAGATTGAATGCCAGAAAACTGAAGAGTAGGTGGTGGAGGGTGGACCTTCTGGCCTTGGGCAAAGACTCATCCCTTCTGACCAGAGTGATGGCGATTTTAACCCATTTATAACTGGGCCCAATCATGTTGAAGAAACTGGGCTCACCTAGCCAACTGAATTGTTTGGGCTGCAGGTACAGTCTCCTTCCTAAAACTAGTCTACTGGCCAACCAGATTTGATGTCAGAACAATTAATTAGCTGACAGGAAAAATGCCTTTAGAGGTGGATCGAAGTGAATGAGACTACAAAACCAGCCTATGGAAAACAGGCTATTTTCTTGGGTCTCTTGAGTGCTGTGTTCCTATTATAGAGCTGGAAAGTGGGGAACTTTCAGGATGAGCCCTTCCCTATAGCCAAGTCCAAGAGAACCCAGCCTGTAAATGGGGGATTATTAACCTGGGGTCCACAGACCTTGTGGATAGATTTTTTTGGGACCTGGTGTGAACTTGAACTTTTAACATTTTAATAACTATTTCAGTTTAATTGGTTTCCTTTGTAATTCTGTAGGTTTAATTTTGTGCATTTAAAAACATTCTAAAAAGGCGTGGTTAGGCTTCACCAGACTGCCAAAGGGGTCCAGGACACGAAAAACGTTGAAGAACCCCTCCCTGAGCCAGGTGTTTGATGGTGTGTTGGCAGTGGTAGCTTCTTCGATTCAAATCAACAAGGGTTCATGGAAAGTGTTTTGCTGGGCCCAGGGGCTTATTCCCAGGAGCCCAGAAGGACCAATGGCGCTTGGAGAGGTGGGAGCAATCAACTACAGCCTTCCAGCAGGGCCTTTCCTGAGGGATGCCCCTCCACTAACAATGCACGTACCAAAACTATCAAGGGCAGCATTTAAGGACTTATGGAATCACAGAATTAGGTGGAGGAAGAAGTGCTGCTCCTTTGTTTTAGGGAAGGGTTAGGGAGTGAATTAGAGGTTGGTGGTAGGTCAGAGCCTCAGGGTTATTTTCACACCAGCTGACAAACTACTTTCTCCCCCCCACTTATCAGCCTCTTTGAGTCTGGTCTATGGGCCTCTTTCACAGATCCTAGAACCATAGAACTAAAGCAACTGGCTTTCAACAGCTCAGCCTCAGGCCCCCCAGTGAGGCCTTCAGAGCCCTTTGAGAAGTGCCACCAGCTTGTTTTCTGGTGCTACTGATTGTGAAAGGCATCGGGATAAGCTCCTATAATTAGAGCTCTGAGCTCAGGCATGCTGGGCTTCGGCAGTAGAACAATGACATTGGAGAGCCTAGTGAGCAGTAATTACTGTGCTCAGGAGGGTAAAAGGGGGGAGCAGAATTACTGAGAGTGATTTATTACATCTCAGTAAATTACATCTGACTTTAAAACTCTAGGGGCAGGAGGGAAATGGGAAAACAACTGTGCCCTCATCTCCTGTTATTTCCCTGTCTGGGAATGCAGCTTACTTGATTTGCCTGTTTCCAAAATATCTGCCCCTTGTTCTGGCAAGGGAAAGGGAGATTTGAGGCAGAGGAATTGGGATGGGAGGGGAGGAGGAATTGGTTAGTGCAAGCCTGAAAACACGAAGCACCAACATTGGCATTTGGCTTACTGCATTACTGCATGTTGAGATTAAAACCATCATTGTCCTATCTCCCATGTGGTTGGGGAGGCTGGTTTGAATACCAGGCAATCCCCAAGTCCCATAGCCTCACATCCTGTATTTTACTGCCAGAAACAGACCAGAGAGAAGAGGTCATAGAACTCATGATGTCAGGGCTAGAAGGGACCTTTGACTTAACATAGAGGGTCAGAGCTGCAAGGTGCCTTAGAACATAGAATGTTAGAACTGAAGGACCCTAAAGATCGTCCAGTCCATCCCTTTCATTTTGTAGTTGAGAAAAGTGAGGCCAGAAAAGGAGAGAGATTTTGAAAATTGTGAAGTACTGTATATAAATAGGAATCGGGACCAGACCTGTGATTTCTTTGAAATGGGGAAACTTCCTGGTTGAAGAAACCCGCTTTACCCATGTAGATTGGCACCTTCTTTTCAATTAAACAACTTAGACAATGTTAATTGACTTACTTAAGGATCACACAGCCAGATGAATCAGATCCAGGACTTCAGCCCAGGTCTTCCTGATTTTGAGGCTTGCTGTCTATCCACACGTTGCCTCTCACTACATATAAATCTGTTCAAAGTCATGCACTTGATAGCTAAACCCAGACCACAAACAAGTCTCCTGACTGGTCCAGGAGGACAGGTCCAGGTCCAGGGTGTTCCCCACATTTGAAGGAAAAAATAACCTTTGCTGCTAAACTTTCTACTGAACACTGCTTGGGTGCCGGTCGAGCAAGGTGTGATAGATATGAGGTTGACGTGTCTTGGGTCATTTTGGTTTAGTCTGGGAGGAGGTTTGCAGCTAGTTTCACAGCATTCTTAATCCCTCAGTAGTTGGGTACTTTTCCTGGTGCTCCTGCAAAAGTGTGGAACGAATCACACAGTATACAGGTGAATGTGGCAGGAATCGTGTGGGAGGTAGGTACCTGGCAGAGAGCTGAAGTCAAGCCACATTTAAGCTGCACTCAGAATGTTACAAGACAGGTACCTTGAGGGCTCCACATTTTTTCAAGCACTTTGTTAGGATTTCTTATTGATCACGTACTGCCTTATATCATACTTATTTGCAATGTATTGTCTCTCCTGTTAGACTTTAGACCCTTCTGCTTTTCATCTTTGTATTTCAACCAGTCACAGTGCCATGTACATAGGAGGCATTCCATGCCTGCTTATTGGATTCGGTTGAACCAGGGATTCTGAACGCATTAAGTAGGTGAAACGACCCTGTTGGGGAGAAACAGAAGACAGATATCATATGAAGTTTGTCTACTGTAAGAGCAATTTGTCTCTCTTTCTTCTGTTTTTCCTCCAAGGTAATGATTCTGTAGAGTTTGCTGTAGTAGGACTTTGGACAAATCTTGTGGGTTTAATACATGTGACATTTCTCTCTCGGAGTGGTAGCATTTAATTGATTGATGGAAAAGTTCTTGAATGTCTCCATGTGGCTATCTCAGTTTGCAGACTTCCTTGGATTTTAGGAGTTATTGAAAATTTTAGGAGTCATTGAAAATCTGGTGGAGCTTTGCCACAACACTGCCTACTAGGGTGTGGAATTCCTGGTAAGGCGGTTCTGCCTTGAATCTGCTCAAGGTCCCTTAATTTAAGCAGGTTCACTGCAAAACAAAAACAAAAAACAAAAACAAAAAAATCAACAGCAACCTTTTATAACAGTTATCCCAATAAGATGGCTCCATGAGTGTTTTCCAGGATAGCTTATAGATTCCACAATGTAATTGCTAACAAGATAAAGAGTATGAACTCTTCCATCTGAGCATTTTCATGAAAGAACTTTTTAAACCATAAAGCATCAGTCAAGTTTAAGGAGTTACCATCATTATTTTTTTTTTATTCCTTACCATTTTCTTCTTTCTTCTCCTTCTTTCTCTTTTCCCTGTTTGCTTCGTAGAGGTGACCCAGAAGTCTTGGAATGGGCCATAGAATAGGGCCTTACTCAAATGACCTTCTCTGATCTTTTGGCATTAATCTGCCATCAGGAATATTCAATAAAGCAGAATGATTTATGAAGAAGCATCATGAGGTTTCCAAGAAAAAGCACACTGGACTTTCAGCCAGTTTGAGTCCCAGGTCTGACACTCACCATATAACACTTCCCCTCCCTGGGTCTCAGTTTATGTAGCCCCCCCAAAATGAGGGAATTGGACAAGACCAAGGGTTCTTCACCTTTTTTTGTGTCATGGACCCCTCTGCCTGTCTGGTGACATTTCATGGCCACTTGGCTCAGATAACTCT